TCTATCTATCTATCTATCTATCTATCTATCTATCTATCTATCTATCTCAGTCGTATTAAAAAGTGGTGATTCAACTTAATCCCAGTGTTTTGGGGGATTTGCCATATGACGAAAGATGGTCAGTGGGTACATTTTATCCATTTTATCCACAGTTCAGACATTCATTGAACGACACAGACATGAACTCGGGTGGGAAACTTTAAAAAGAGTCCGCGGGAGTGTGTCCACGGCTGGTCAGTGGTCAGCAGCGGGGATCTGTCTCTTACGCACAGGCGGCCGGGGCTCCGTGCGCGCGGCGGCGGCTGTGCGCTCCCACCTCCGCACGCTCGCACGCACGCACGCACGCACGCACGCACGGAGCCCCCTCGGGCACGGCCCTACTCACCTAACTTTCGCGGCCACGGAAGAAATGGCGTCACTCCTCATGTTCTTCCTTTTGGACACGGCAGTTCCCATGCTGAAGCGGAAACGAGCCGGAGGAGAACGCGCGGACCATTCCAGAGACCGATCCGTGAGATATCAGACAAGAGAAGGGGGTGGAAAAAACGTGGAAATGTCCTGCCTGTCCTGCCAGTCTGCGCCTGTAACTGTCACGTTTTCATCCTGACCGGAAAAGGTGGAGGATTTGGGAAGGTGCGGGTTCCTGCGCGCAACGTGTGGAGATGCGCTCTGCTCCTCTCTGCTTATCCATCTGAAGGGCTTTCCAGGGAAGGAAGCCAGAGTCATAAAAAAAAGGAGGAGCTGCGTGTCGTGGACAGGTGCGGGGTGGGCAGCCACGCGCGCCGGGAGGAGTTTGGTTTTTCCTGGTGTTTTTTCCTGGTTTTTCCTGAGAGAGACGCGGCGCACGGAGGTGTGGACGCTGGAGCCCACGAGTAATTCCGCAGATTATTATTAGCTTTAAAACCAAACAATCAGCGGTGTGTTTTGTGTCTCGTGTGGAAGAGGATATTTATCAGGTCTTAAGTCGAAAAAAAATACGGATTTCTTCATTTGTGAAAAAAGAGAAAAAATTCGAATAGCTATGGCAGAGCGGTTTTATTACTATTAGTGAAAAAAGAGAAAAAATAAGAATAGCTATGGCAGTTGACAGTTGGAGGACCTATCTGGGTGAGGCACACATGGAAACAAAGGTTATCATCAGTTGCCCTTATTTTTATATAAATTAGGCAAAGAATAAAACACATTTTTCCCTTTGGCCCTATGACTTTTTAATCCAGTAGAGATTTTAACACCCTATGCATTTCTTAAAGAGAAATAAAAACACAAATTATCTTTTCCATCTAAAAAGGTCTTGAGTGCAAATGAAAGATATTTGAAGATAAAAGATAATATGGTGTGTGGTTTTGGATTTTTTCTCCGACAGCTACTGTCCTCTCATGACAGAGAAACCATTTTTTATTCATTCTTTGGCTATAAAAGCTTAAATAAAAAACCCCTCTCTATCAGAATCTCATCAATATGAGCACCCTTTGGTTTGGCTGGCCAAATCCACACCAATCATTCTTTTTCTTGGTCCTACTCAATAATTGTGTGTTTATTTGAGATGTCTCCAGTGTCAGTTTTTCACACTGCCTAAACCACATCCTAAAACTGAACTCAGGATAACTAGTGGAGGGGATTCCTGTAGAGTTCATAACTGGCATCTCCCTTAATATTTTTTACCTGACTGTGTATCACCAGTTACTGTAAGAATGTGCTCGTTCTCCACATTCATTATCTGAGCTGCTTCAAACAAAAGGTCAGGAATCGGCTTGCTTTCTGTCCTGGCGTCTAATCCTACTTTAGATTTTAGGTGCAGTTGCCTAGGAACAAACAACATCAATATTGTTTTCCATATTCCACTCGAAACTGTAACCGCTCATTAAGATCTGCAAGCCCTTTTTTTTTTTATAGAACAAAAGACTCATTTAGAAATGTCACGCTTATCCCAGTTACCATCAGGTGAGATACAGGAGACACTGAACATATCACAGCTTTTTACAAAGCAATTATGAGGATAATTGTTGAGGAATTGCAAATAATTAATCTCTCATTTATTTTCAAATAAAAAGCTACATGAACGTTTTCCATTTGTGGGGATTCCATTCTTTTATATAGGGGCTTGTAAAACCAGTTTAACCAGTTTAGCCAGTCTACAGGGTGAGGATCTCAATATATGACACAACAGAACATGAGTATGTTTTTGTTTTTTTTTGCATTTTTATGAGCGAGTAATCAACAAGCAGAACCAACTGCACAGCAGGTTAATCACCATTTACCGTGTTCTGCTGTTGTGTAATAAAAGATCAGACTCACCAGAGCGGGAAATCACACTGCAGTCTCTTTTTCCCTCCAGAAACCAAACAAAGACTTAAAACCTGAAGGCCTGTGAAGCTGTACCATCACCAAAGCGACTGGATTCATCCTGTGGGAAATATAAATGTTTCACACAATGTGGTACAATTTAATCAAATAATGGCAGTTTACCAGAGCTACTCGGCTGTGTCCTCTGTGGGCCAAAAATACCTTTTTACATTAACAAACGTCAAACAAACGTTAAGGAATGCAACATTTGTGGATAAAGTCAACGAATATAACAGAAATAAATGACATGTACATCTTGTAAGCCTAATTTTTTCCACTTTCCATTAGCATCCCTATCTAAAGATGGAAGTGTAACACTGTTAAACCGTTGATTGTGTGAAAGAAAATGTTTTCCTCATGTTTCCATTCTCTAGTCAGTAGGTATAGTAAATTTCACAATTCAAGATTTGATAATAGAATTGTAAAAGATATAAGAGACTGAAACATTTGTCCATCTGATTAAACAGAAGTTAGAAAGTAATCTTTTATAGGAATTCACACGTCCAAATATGAACTTAATTGTATAAAACTAAGATGGAACATTCAAACCTGCATATCTGGAAAGTGTTTTGATAACAAAATCATGGGCAAACAACTCCAAAAACCTGATAGGTGGCTATACTTAGCTGATTGGTTGAAAAATCATCAATATCCAGCTCACATCTTGCTGTAGAACTCAGCCAGAATGAAATAAAACAGCACTGGAAATCATCCAGATGCAGGAAAACGGCAGCCAAAAACTGCTCTGTCATGAATGCAGGGATTCATTTGGTCTGCAATATAATCAGTTATAAATATATAACCCCAATAGTTAACAGTTGTCTTGGCTCATAAACCATGCACATATTTGAGCAATGCACACATTAGCTATCCATTACCTCATTCCAGCTCGTATTGTACTCAATATTCGTATTCTAAAAAGCTGTGTTTTATTGGGGATGGTAAATCAATGTTCTTGTTTTAGTACTGGTCAGTCTTTATGCCCGGGCAGTGAAATCCGTGTCACACAAAACATAAATGGTCATTCAAACAGCAAAGCCTAGCTTTCTCCCCTTTAAGTTTTGAATTAAACTTTTGATATTGGCACCAGTCTTTTTTGCACTGTACAGCATAAATACAAGGGAAAATGGTTGTATAATCACAAAAAGGAAGAAGAATTTGAGCAAAAACCAAAATAGAAACAATTAACAATAAATATGAAAGGTAATTATCCATCTTTGTCTTGGTAGTTAGAAAGTTTTACTGTATTTTTGTTCCATATCAGTCACATTTTTTATTTTATTCGATTCAAAGCAAATAAGCTCATAAGCATTGGCCATTATTTTAGTAATTTGTTTTGGTCTTTTTTGTGTTCAATTTATTCTCACACCATTTGGTGCATCATATACAAATAAACAAACGTTGTATCTGTGAATAAACGTGGTTTGAATTGATTGAAACGCTGGCAGTTTGTGAATTGACACTCATGTGTAATGCTATTCAAGGAGAATACGATTCAAAGAGGAAAACATTTTACTATGCACACACATTTGTAGATTGTGCCAAAAGGCACAGTAGACTGGGGCTTGACCACGGCTCAAAATGTAGACACCTGTGCACAAAAACCAGTGGTGGAGAAAGTACTCATACAATGTACTTAAGTAAAAGTACAAATACACAGACAAAAATTTACTCAAGTAAAAGTCAAAGTACCACATTATTATTTTACTTAAGTAAAAGTAAGAAAGTACAAGCTTTTAAAACTACTTAAGTATTAAAAGTAAAAGTACTTGCCAACCATAATACCTAACGGCTTATATAATGTCATTAAGTGTACCTATGGTATTTAGTTTTAATAAATCAGTAATGTACCATTTTAATGAGCAATGCTGCAGATAAAGCATGTTTTTATTGTGTTTACCCCCTGTGACAGTTTAGATTTCGATATTTTATGCAGGTCCTGCGTACTGTGCTGCTCTTTTTGAGGGAGGGCCTAATGGTTATTTCCCACTTTGGATTGGTCCAGCGGACTGATTCTGCTCTCGCCATTGGATACTTTCAAACTAACGAACAAATAAAAAAACCGAAATGCGTCTTGGATGTAACGAGTAACAAAACGCTGTATAGAAATGTAGTGAAGTAGAAAGTACAGATACTTACTGTTAAATGTAGTGGAGGAAAAGTAGAAAGTATCCATTATTAAATCTACTTAAGTAAAGTACAGATACACAGAAATTGTACTTAAGTACAGTAACGAAGTACTTGTACTTCGTTACTTCCCACCACTGACAAAAACACAGCAGTGGGTTAGTGACCACAGACCAAACAAAAGCAGCCGATTCACCTCTATGTCCAGTTCCTAATCCCAGAGTCATAAAGACTATGTTTTGCTCTGTGAAGAACCCAAAATCAATTCCATGTCAATAGTCAGTCAGTGTGAAGAGAGAAAAAAAGCAATTCTATGAGTCACTATCATGAAATATAAATAGTTCAGGCTATACGTGACACGTTGCTCACCCCCATCCCAGAGTTCTGGACGCTCCTCATTTTCTCTGTTCTCGCAATAACAAGCAGAAAGATAAATTCCACGGACCACCGGGAAACCCGGAGTAGCTCAGCTAATCAAGTGTGTGGGCGGAGGGGACTCAGAGAAAAGTGGCAGCGTGTAAAACTGACACTGGAGACGTCTCCAATAAACACACAATTATTGAGTCGGACACACAAAAAGAGTGATTGGTTCGGATCTGGCCAGCCAAACCAAAGGGTGCTCATATTGATGAGAGTCTGATAGAGAGGGGGTTTAAATTCACGCTTTTGTAGCCAAATAATGAATAAAAAATGGCTTTCTGTCATGAGAGGACAGTAGCTGTCTGAGAAAAAAATCCAAAACAACATGACAATATCTTTCATCTTCAAATATCTTTCATTTGGACTCAAGACCTTTTTTTAATGAAAAGCCTCTTTGTCAGGGGAAGTAGTGTACACACTTGTTTTTTTAATTTTTCATTATAAATCCTTTGTCATCATGGTTACAAGACGAATGTTGACAAATTTACTGGCCCAAATAAGAATATCATTGCTCCTTATTGTGGTAAAAATCCAAACGGATGAGAGAACTTCATCATAGAAATATGTAAAGTGTTGGGTTTTTTTTGTTTTTTTGTAAAATAACGAGCCCA